CTTACGAGGACCGCAGCTGAGATAGAATGTGAGAGGAGGAGGGAAATGCGATTGATGGATACAATTGTGGGGAGGGCTGAGAAATCTCACAAGTAAAGGATAATGGAATTTAACGAACAGATGAATTCAATGAGTGAGCACTTTGACATCCCCAAGGTGTCCTGGACGAAATAGTATCCTCGTTTGTCCAACTGTGATTGCCCACTTCCCTGCCCACTCCACTTCAGGTCCACCTTTCTTTGACTTTGTTTCGAGCTTTTATGCAAATTGAATGCATTGTTGTATATTTGTATGTATATATGTATGTATATTTTGTATATAAATTTTTCTGCTCATTCATTTCGCAGTTGTATACTGTTTATTGTTGGATTGGAGCGTGTTCCATCAGAATGGACTTACGACTAGAGTGGCTAATTTGTCTCTTGCTTCTGTCGCGTTTTGCGAGGCAGTTATCGTGTTTGCGCCTGGCGCGGTCTAGCAAGAGTGGGTACGCATACTGTGTTTTAGTGATTTTGCATTTGGTCGTTGATAGCGAATGCACACAGCTCGACGTCATTTTGTGCAATAATTATTTGTTCATCTCGCAAGTAACGCAATATTCATAGAAGTGGAAGAATGGGTTTATTGCTTAAGGTGGATTGTATTATTATTGATTGTTGGTGAAGCTTTGGCCTGTTTCTTGTTCATTTTTGGGAGTTGGTTGAATGTGGTGATTGGTATTGCTACTCAAGCCATTTAGGGGTAGGCTATTCTTGCTTTGGTTTATCCGATAACTGGCAAGACGTGAATGGACGATGGTTACTTTGTGCGTTGGACTGCGAAGCGAACGGTGAGTAGGCGAATCTAACGACCACGCGACTAGTTGATGTGCTTCACATTGGCTAAATGCCCGCATATTACTAAAATCTTTCCAATTAAACTGAATTACTACGAGTTATTTTTATTAACAATGGCTGATATTTCATTATGTTATTCGCCTTTTTGTTTCTCTAGCAATCCTGTATTTGACTATGGGGATTGCCATAGTAGTTTGGCTTAAGGTTCCCTTTAATATTACTAAATTTCTAAATGGAAGCGTTAATCGGGGAACTCAAAGGTAAATTTCTAGTATAATCTTTGATTTTTTTAAATATTACATATTATATTAGCAAGAAGACTAGTTAAAATAAAAGTTGAAGTTATTGTGTAGTAGTAGTAGTGCGTCTATGAAAGAGCGAGAACTCAGGGAAAGCAATAACGGCTTTGCGTGCAATTTTGAAAATACGATAGGTGGTCAGCGAGGAGATAGATAAATGAGAGGGGAGGGGAAGAGGATGTGAGTAGAGGGATTTGAAGTGATTGAGAGATATTCAAAGGGGTTGCTGGTCCGTTGGCATGCATAAGGGGCTTCCTTTAAGGCTCTGCTAAGGCCCTTTGACTTAATTTACGGCGATAATGATGATCAAAACCACAGCTACAATAGAGGATACAGTTGCGTGCAAGCTGATCATGAAGTACTTGAAAAGACGACCCTAAAGCCCGAAGAAAATCAAATTGAAGTACAAAGTTTCCGGAATCAAGTATCCAAAATAATTGAATGGATGACTTACAGAAGGCTCTGGTTCTACGGGTCGAGGGATAGGTACACCGCCAACACGAACGGCATTCTGATATTGTTCAACTTCATTCTTGTAAGTCAATTTCTTCTCTGAAACGACAAACAGAGTTCAAGAAATTTAGTGCGTCCTACTAAGTAACTATAAGTAGTTGAGAATAACGTGATTACATTTCTTATCAATGCTATTTCTGGCATTTTGCATAAAAGGCTAAAAGGCGATATAAAGCGTGATTCAGTACCTAAATTGTTTTGCTGCAAAGCGAGTATTCTTTAATTTAAGGAAATCCATCGATACTATGGACAGCAATGGAGGGGCCTGATAAATGTACTGACTTAGCGCACGTAAAAGTGCCTTAAATTTATCGTCTTCAGGCTTAAATCTTGGTAGAAATAAGACCCTTACTATAAAGCACTAGGCCTCCTGAGTTATACCCACAATGGCTGGATCCGTTCTGTCCATACCTTGACACCCCACCCCTATAACCACCCCCCCCCCCCCCCCCTCCAAATATTTCAGCATCCAGGTTAATGCAAATGCATGAAAATTTTTAGCAATTCAGATTTATAAGTAATTGTAATCAGTTCAAATATCCTCTGCTAAATTGGAAGCACTACATTAGTAACATCCTTTCTGGTAAAAATGAAGAGAATTTTGCACACAATAAGCAGTGGAAAGCGACTGACTGTGCTATTTTTCAAGTACATGTGCGAAATCACACAGTTTGGCAATTAACCAAGCAACCAAGAGACGTAAATAGGCCTTCGAATACAAGGAGAGAAAGTTAATGCGTCACTCCAGTGTGCTCACTCATGTGAACATGGTAGCGAGTGATCTCGTGAAATAAAAAAAACAACCATGATTCATCTCTCTCTCGAAGGCACACTCGCCAATCGTAACATTGGTCAGGTTAGAAGTTACATGAGTCAGTCATTAGCTATTAGTCATCCATTTTGAATAGCATAACCTTGACATGGGGGGTGTGCGATAGACTTATCTCCACGTGGTGCACCCTGGGCAACGTATATTCATACGGCTCCACGTGGTGCACCCTGGGCAACGTATACTCATAAGGCACCACGTGGTGCACCCTGGGCAACGTGTACTCATACGGCAAGTAAGTCTATCACGTGGTGCACCCTGGGCAACGTATATTCATACGGCAAAAACTGGTGCACCCTGGGCAACGTATACACGGCAAAAGAGTCCGTGGTGCACCCTGGGCAACGTACACTCACACCTTACCTCCACGTGGTGCACCCTGGGCAACGTATTCTCATTCGGCTTACCTCCGTGGTGCACCCTGGGCAATGTATATTTAGACTTACCTCCACGTGGTGCACCCTGGGCACCGTATACTCATACGGCAAAAAAGTCTATTAACCGGCAGTTGTTGCGATAGACTTACCTCCACGCGGTGCACCCTGGGCAACCCACTCATACGGCAAAAAAGTCTATTAACCGGCAGTTGACTTATCACTTCCATACGGCTACCTCCACGTGGTGCACCCTGGGCAACGTGTACTTACAACCTCCATGTGGTGCACCCTGGGCAACGTATACTTATGCGGAAAAAAGTCTATTGACTGGTAGTTGACTTCTCACTTCAAACTACCATCACCCCACTGTATAGTTGACCACTGACTTCAAACTACCATGACCCCACTGTATGCCTTGACTTCTGACTTCAAACTACCATGACCCCACTGTATGTTACAAAGTATACTCATACGGCAAAAAGTCTATAAACCGGCAGTGGACTTCTGACTTCAAACTACCCTCACCCCACTATATGTCACAACTTCTCACTTCAAACTACCATCACCCCACTGTATGTCATTGTGTATGCGCATACGGCAAAAAAGTCTATAAACCGGCAGTTGATCTAACCCTAACACGGCAAAAAGTCTATAAACCGGCAGTTGACCTCTGACTTCAAACTACCATGACCCCACTGTATGTCATATTTGGGCAACAGACCTCATACGGCAAAAAGTCTATAAACCGCTGGGCAACGTATACTCATACGGCAAAAAAGTCTATTAAAGGCAGTTGACTTCTAACTTCAAACTACCATGACCCCATTGTGGCAGTTGACTTCTCACTTCAAACTACCATCACCCCATTGACGGGCAACGTATACTCATACGGCAAACAAGTCTATAAACCAATGGGCAACGTATACTCAAACGGCATACCTCCACGTGGTGCACCCTGGGCAACGTGTACTTACAACCTCCATGTGGTGCACCCTGGGCAACGTATACTTATGCGGAAAAAAGTCTATTGACTGGTACTTCAAACTGCCCACGTGGTGCACCCTGGGCAACGTATACTCATACGGCAAACAAACTGGTGCACCCTGGGCAACGTATACACGGCAAAAGAGTCCGGGTGCACCCTGGGCAACGTATACTCATACAGCAAAAATCCTCCACGTGGTGCACCCTGGCCAACGTATAATCATACGGTCTTACCTCCACGTGGCGCACCCTGGGCAATGTATACTACACCTTACCTCCACGTGGTGCACCCTGGGCAACGTATTCTCATTCGGCTACCTCCACGTGGTGCACCCTGGGCAATGTATACTCATACACCTCCACGTGGTGCACCCTGGGCAACGTATACTCACGATAGACTTACCTCCAGGTGGTGCACCCTGGACAACGTATACTCAAACGGCACCTCCACGTGGTGCACCCTGGGCAACGTATGCTCTCAAACTACCATCACCTCACTCTATGCCATATTCGAATATAATATGTCAAAAAGTCTATTGACTGGCAGTTGACTTCTCACTTCAAACTACCATCACCTCACTCTATGCCATATTCGAATATTTTCGCAATACTCACCTCACCCTTGTTCTACCTTTGTGTTTGTATCTTACATCTTTGAAACACTCTTCTGTTCCCCCCCTCCCTCTCAACTTTTTTCAATTTGATGTTCCTTCCCCTCTGTGAAGCCTGAAGTCAACTAAAGGGCTAATGATAACCATCAAGACGCCTGCCGTTTGATATAAAATAAATAAAACATTGACATAGCAGTGGTGTAATAGCTAACAGCTGACTTTCCCGAATTAGATTTTGGAAATAGTTCAGGGAACCACAACGGGCACTATGGCTTTAAGCAAGATTATATCAGAAGTTGAGTTAGATAATACGACTTCTAGGTGCAAGAGATAAGATTTAACTTTCGTTCAGACATAGGATAAGTCGAATCAGCACTTTTTAGAAGAGACGTGAGGCAGATGTAAAACTTGTGAATATCCAGCCTCTAACCAACTTCTAGGAAATATTATAGTTAATTCAAAATTACTCCTATTTATCATGTTTGTTGTCTCCTCATTTAGCCGAAGTATTCAGCAGAATTATTCTACTATATGATAACATGTTGATGCTTTCTTATGACATTCGAGGAATGCCACAAGACACAAAACGCCACGAGTACTACTCAGACAGCTTACGTTTGTTTCGTCGATAGTGGATGCATCCATGGATCTCCAAAGTGAGTTCCACAATGAACTGGAAGATGACAAAGAAGATGAGAATCCAGAGAGGGTAGTTGAGACTGCGCAACTGCACTCCCGCTGAGGGCATTCTAAGACCCAACATGATGGTGGGAATGGAGAGAACGTGGGCGAGGGTTCCAATAATGAAGTGAGTCCAATTGAAGTAGGGTCGATTTTTGTGCATTGGATGAGGTCGGCAGAAGGTGACGAATGGCTGGTAATAGGAAAAAAGAAGAGGCATCCTTATTTCATAACCCAAAAAATTCAACAAATTTGACGATTTCTACCCTCAAAAATAAGCTTTAATTAATTGTTATCATAGAATTTATAAATAGGAGGGTGGGGTGGGGGTTGAAAAGACGTTATGAATCAAGTAAAGATATCAGAAAATCTCCATTTTAATTTCGAATTCGGGCTATAAAGTATTTACTTAATGAGTTATTCACGACTTGTCACCTGATTGGCCGCGATATTTGTGTTTATTGACCAGTTGTTTAAATCTTTGTGAGTTGCCCAACAATTTCAAATATACAAATTAGAGTAATCTCACATGGTGGAGCTGAAGTCGATGGAAGTATCTTCCAGTACCTAAGGCGTGGACGACAGCACTAAGAGCATACTTTTGAACAAGCTAACTAGCTTGAAATGACCCACAAATTGGCAAAAAAAAATTTTCAAATTTATTGCATAAGAGAATTGAGTTTGACCAAGGTTGGAATAAATATTTAAACAACATCTTCTTGATTCTACGAAAAAACATGCACGAAAAAAACAAAGCAGTTATTGCAAAATTTTGTTTTCCTACACGAATATGATCCAGACACCCTCAAAATAGGTGGTGGAACACACATCAAATATACCATGTAAACACCACACCCAACACTTTTACTTATTTCTAGTGTATTAACCATTTCCAGTCTTTTTAGATGCCACAACGAATAGAGGATACATTTTAATAATTTTTTAAGATGACATAGCTGCAGCCTTACATTGATAATAGCCAATGAGAACACAATGAGACCCAGAATGGGATGCACGTAGTCCGGATAGATCCTGAGTTGAGAGTAACCCTGGCAGAAGATGAAAGCGAGTATGACAGACAAGCACGTGAGACCAACACAAATGCCCATGAGGATACGATGCAGTTGGAACCACACACGTTCACCAAGAAGACCCGCATTGGGCCACATATCCTTGTAGTAGCGGGAGATTATGACAGCAACGGAGGAGCAGAAGACCCAAGCCAATACCATCATTGCGCCGTGGGCTTTCACGACACCTGGAGCATGCAAAAGCATACCATTGGAAGGCAAGTCGTAGAGTGGTCTGAAAAGAAATCAATCAAAGCACTAAAATTATTTGTTCCAACGACCAATTTCTTCAGCTAGGGTAGTGCTAGCGATTAACATTTCCAGTAAGTGGCAGTGAAGGGCCCATCTAATAAGTCAAAGATCACGATAGCATATTCACTGGTTGAAATAATCAACTATGGCAGTTAATGCGGATCAATTAATGCGAGTTTCTCGATTAGTAAGACGTTGGGATTTTCGTTCACCAACCACAATGAGTTTGACAAATATCTTCCCGCCCTCAAGTGACAATAAAGAAGCCCTACCCCCCCCCCCACCCCCCCACCCCTGTAAAGACCCATAGTGTTAGTTCTTTAGGTTATCGACATACTGAGAAGTGTTGGAAATCAGGTATTCAATTAGTACAAAAGTAAATGCCTTAATCACTAAGAATCGTCACGGTAAATTCAAGACAACAAGTGAAATTGGGAGAGAACGCTTATGTACAAATCGAATTACAAATAAAACTACATGTGCATTGCTTCTTTACAGAGGAAACTAACAAACAAACAAAAAAATAAAATTTAGGAAGACCTGTCTACATTCTAGTACGCGGTGCACACTGGGAAACGTATACTCATACAGGAAAAAATCTATATGCTGGTAGTTGAATTCGATCTACCATGACCCGACTGTGCGTCATATTTAACCACTTCTACAGTACTCAACTTACCTTTTTCACTGCACATTGTGTCTGTCTCTTTTACATCTGTGAATCGCTCTCTCTCGACTTTAT